CCAGATAGTAACCTGGTTAATTGATACAATGTTGTCAGGTCTCTGTTTCTCCTGCCTGCAGCCCATTCTGCTTCACTTGCCAATGTGTCGTAGAAGTGTCTTTTGTCTTTGCGTGCACTCTTCTTCACTTCTTTGTCCAGTGTAGTGTTTTATACATTGTACTCAGTTCCTCTTTTCGTTGTTCTTCCCTGTACTGCAGTGGTTCATCTTCTGCTTCACCATCCTCATCTCCCTCCTCTGTCAGCTTCCATGTGTCCGCCGAGATCCATTCCTTGTCTTGTTTTTTCTTCCTCCTTCCTAAGACAGTTATGCAGGTTTCCTTCCATATCCCTTTCAAGGAGTTCAAGCGTTCTTCAACCCAGGTTCCTTCAGGAATGTTGCCTAATGTCTCCCATTTTGTCCTGATGTCTGATTGAAGATATCCTTTGTAGTTTCGTCCTTCACTTTCTGTTCTGGGTGTTGAACTTGACCTGTGGTCTATCACCAGCTTCTTTGAAGGCTTTCAACTTGATTTTGAAGGTAGGTCCCTTGCACCAGTTGTGAGTGGTCTGAGCCTACATCTGCTCCTTTTCTTCATCTGATCTTGTGTCCAGTAGGCTGCGTCTCCCCTTTCTTCACATTGAGATGAAGTCGATCTGATTTCAGTGTAGTGTGTCCATCTGGTGAAGTCCATGTCGCTGCCTTGTGTATATCTTTGTGTTTGTACACACTGTCAACAGCCAAAGCCTGATGGTCGTGAGGACAGTTACTCAACCATGAAACTGGGTGGCGCTATATCGTGAGCCAACAGAAGTTGGAAATATGGATCATTGTATTCTAACCTGGTGGCTCAATGGTAACGTGCTGGCCATGGAACCTGAAGGTAGTGGGTTCGGTCCCTGGCGGAGTCACGCTGCCGAGGAGTCGCGTACTAGGACGAAACAGCGGTACAGTGCTCCCAGGTTTCCTTTGTTCTTCCAACTGATGTCAGTCTACTATGAACAACAACTTGAAACCACCAAATCGTTGAACTCGCAGAAGTCTGCAAACAGTTCTCCATTCTCATTCATCATCTCAACGAGTGCTTCTCGACCCATGGTGAGTTCTCTTTCTGTGTTGTCCGCTACGAGTTCGCCATTCATGTCACCCTACCTATTAGAATTTTGATGTCGCCAACTGGAGTTGTGTCTTGTCTAGTACTGATTACAGTTGTCTGTAGAAGTCCTCCTTCTTCTCTTCATCTGCATTATTTGTAGGTGCGTAGCATTCTACGATTGTGACTTTCCCTCATTTTGAGTTGAATCTTGCTGTCATGATCCTGCAGGAGGAGACTGGTTCCCACTGAATGAGAGAGAGCCATTGATGCTGTTGGGAACATTATCATAGCCACTCCAAAACTCAGTGTACTCGTGGTTGTCGTGTGGGTGACAATATCGGAGTAGATTATTGACACTCCAGTTGAGTTTTGAGAGTCCACTTCCATTCCATCTGCTGATTCCTGGCGCTTCTGTGCTATACCTTCTCATCTCGTTTGCAATCTGGGTAGCCTTGCTAGGTTCATACATAGTGAGGACATTCCATGTCCCCACGTTTACTTTCGCTTTCATCGAGAGGACACACATCGGCCGACTGACTTCTCGAAGGCTTTCACTAACTGGCGTCATTTCACCTCCCCGATTCCAGCGAGGAGTAAGTTTAATTTTATTTTTTATATTCTTTTTGAAGTTTTTTAGCGCTTAGGCTGGTTTTATGAGGTAGGGTTGCTAGCCCTGTGCCCAACCTTCCCTCTTTATCCGGGCTTAGGATCGGCTAGTAACTAGCGAACTACTTACCCAGGCGAGGTAATGTTCTGATCAGGATTATTACTGAATATATTCAAGCACTTGATTGATTAAAAGTTTAGTCGTTTGATATTTACTTAATAGGGCTTTGAGGACAGTGAACGTTCAAAAATTGTATCAGTTCATGAGCTAAATTATTAAGTTCCACCATCCAGTCTAGTGTGTGGTTACCTAACCAAAATCGCAGTATTCACATGACAATACCCGCCTCAACACATACCATATAGTTGTGCCAAATTTTGACATCACAAATAGTCGAAGATGCGAGGAATAGCATCAATGATTGAAAACTACAAAAAACTTCATTCTGTAAAGGAAACGATAACTAGCTTAAGTTTTGCACAATGTAACCATCTTCAACTACAACACATAAGTTGTTTAAATTTTATCTAATGAGGGTCATTCTTTGCTTTCAGAAAGGCTGAAATAATACAGAAGTCGAACACGTCAAAGGTTACTTGGTCCTCTCTCTAAAAGAACATTCTCGGTCATAACTCTGAATCACTAAACGAGTTTATTTGACTGTTGATGAAGTAATATACACACTTCGATCCAAATTTACTACATATGCGCCAAGCAACGATATGCTCAAGTTGTGAAGGTAAGTGATGTGATACACCATGGATGTATTTCGGTGTGGATTGGCTGCTCAACTCCAAAAAGCCTTCCACAATAAATCTTACAGTATGCTATGCTTATTACATTTGTCAAGATTTACCACTACACGGTACATAGTTTTTAACCACGTTTTATGTTACACTTATCGAACTGAAAAAGATTTCGAAATATACACATCCTTACAATAAGTTTGTTGTTTTTGCAAGTATTCTGAATACGCAGTAGACAACCAACTAAAAAACCAACTTTTCAGAAAAATGTTTACAATTAATTTGTTATTTCAATCAAAATACTTTATTAACATTCTTATTATTGTATTATAAGCATGCGTTGTGAATGACATGACGACAGTAAGTGTAGTTGCTAGAGTGGTCAATATTCACCAAGTATTTATAAATCGTTTTAACAAGATACTGATATAAAGCTCGAAATCTTGATTTTATCACTCATATGGTAATAACCTCCTTGTTCATGTATTTCTGTTTCCAGGATAATCATAAGTAAATCGGTGGTAGCAGCCCTTACTACGTCGATGAAGGATTTGGGGTTGTACTCTTCTGAAGGTGTAGGAATTTTAAATGATCCCACAAAAACTAGATGGAATGTGTCTAACTAGCAGCATTCAAACAATTGAATAAGATCATTCACGTTAAAGGTTGGTGGAATAAAAAATGGTTATTGGATATATTCTTTAATAAAACCGCACGATTTGACATTTTCAGCCTACTACTCTTGTTTAACACTAAACATACATAAAAAGAAAGACAGTCACTCAACAACCTTGTGCACAATCGTGCAGTAGGCAATGAAAGGAGTGCTGATATTTACCAGTCTGAGCAAAACCTCGATAAGTGGAGCTGTGCTGGAATCCATCACCCTTTGGTTAAAAGTCAACTACCTAAACATGCGTTTAAATAAAGCAAAAAATAAACAGATTTTTGTGTCAACTTGTTGGTATGAAGACGAGTTTTATTTCTCTTCACTTATAATCAACTAATCTTGATAAATTGGCAAGTTTTATAGATTTAGTAAGATTTATACAGGTATAGGACATACCTTATATTCCTTCCCTTGATTATTGCGCATCCATGACTGTGTTTGAAATAGTTACCCAAGATACTGAAGTGCAACAGGACAAAAAGTTGTCTTACAGAAGGCAAACTTTATTAGGTTTTAATCAGAGTCAATATATTAATTACATCCATGAAAAATTTCTGCGCTGTGGACATAATCAATTTATTACACTATATATATATATATATATATATATATATATATATATATATATATATATATATATATATATATATATATATATATATATATATATATATATATATATATATTGAATGTTTACACACAATGAATGATGTGTAAGCATTTATCATTAAAAAAAAGTGTCAATATATTAACCTAGTAAAGCTGAAAGAATGAACTTTTTTAAAACAAAAACATTTTCATAAAATTTAATATACGAATAAAGAAAGATACAGAAAAATAAATTTTGCACATAAACATCTGTTTTTACAGTAAGATAACTAGCTGTTCACAGGGTAGTTAATAATGATTTCGAAGGGGAACAGATGAACACACATAGAATAGCAAACTATTAATCGGCAGTGAATACAACAATAATAGTATAATTATTTCACTTTAACACCATTTGGTAAACAGTGAACATTTTCTTGCATAACTCACAGTGGAACCATTGTATAAGTGATGGTTTTCAAGATTTCGATAAGATAAGATTAACATAGAACTATTACACGTTTTGGACACAGTTATGAAAAGGAGAGTAATGAGCTGGTGACAAAAAAAAAACAACAGCCAAGAAGTAGATGAAGCAGTGAATTTCGGTTTCAGAAAGAAAACAAGGTGAATACATGTGAAAAAAGGTCAATGCATGTTGATGTTCAGTTCAATTGGAATCAAGTGATAATCTGAAGACAATAAGAATGCGTAAATGATACAAATTACACAAACATACACAAATAAGTGAACAAAATTTTTAAAAAATGATTATGACGATGTTTACATTATAAGGAGAAAATCACAAATCAAAAACTTTTGCATCTACCACTTATATATCACCAAAACCGGTGATCTTTGTCACAAAAACAAATAAAAAGTATGATAAGACAAACATTCTGCTTTAAAATGAAAATAAAAATAGTTAATTACAAGGTTCAATGGGTTAGCATTCATTTTTACTGGGGTTCATCATCATCGAGTAAATCGCTAGCTGATAGGTGACCAGGTAAGTGAAAAATAATTGTAAACAGTATTTGCAATACTTTATTAAATCTATTCTCAAATGGGTGGTGATCTTTTTGTGATGATGAGGGAATATTGCATATTTTCCTATTTCGTTCAATATTCTCAAAGCTCTTACGCTATTAAATTGGAAAAGAACAAGGAGAAGAGGTACAACGACGTCAGATGTTACAAGTTCCGGCTGTCTTAAAGAAAAAAAAGTAAATATTATGGCAATAAATACTTGTGTTGTATTGTATTACATAGTGTGAATTACTGCAAGAGAATACATTTTGTTGTATACCTATATCACATATCGAAACTGTCACTTCGTATAGTTCGAGTGGAACTGCTCGATCGAGAAATGCATGATCCGGCACAACTGTATGATGGTTCAAAACGTAAGTAGTTGATGACCCTACGTGGGAGATCCAACTGTTCAAGGTGTTCATCTTTGCAAAGCTACAAAGAAGAAAGAAACATCAGATAATATGTACGAAGTTGCCCAAACATCGTGACGAACAAATAGGTCGTTAAATAGCTATTCAGCTCCTTGAATTGAGTGTAAAGTTGAGTTCCTACTCCATATAACAGGCTGTCTGATTCAAACACTAATATAGTAATAGTTTTTACAAGTCATTTCCATATCAGGAGTCACTGACAAGCCAGATACCTATAGACAGTTGTTTATCCTCTTATTTGGAATTCCTCAGCAAATGCCCATTTGATCTGTTACGGAATCACAGTTAGCTAAATCGGGGACTAGATGACTTCTTAGCACTAACTGGTCTATAATGATGTTATAACTTAAATCAAAAAGTAAGGTTCGCTTTCAAAGAGTCCACGGATGAACTACTGAAAACGTAAGGAAGGGAAAGTGCTAAAGAATTCCAGCACATAATCATTTTCTTAAATAATAGAATGGTTTGTTCGTTTTGATTACCTAGCCATCACACAGAGTTTATTTTATTTTAAAGTCTTATTGTTATTCCGCAACTTGATCTGCACAGAGTCGGATCCTTAAGTTTTTAAAAAGACACGGCATAAAAGCATAAAGCAGATTCATAAAACTCCTGTAGAACTATTTATTTAATTCCACTCATAGATCTAATGGGACACTCAACAACCATAGGTTATTTATATAGTGTAAAATACAAGAATTTTTGATGAATCACGGAAATAAATTCCCTTTATAGCTATTTAACCCGAAAGATGTAATGGACTGCATTTTAACCATAGTTTTATTTATTCGCATTAGCCATAACTGTATTTTGACTGGAGCATACTCCGAGATTAGGTATTCGTCACCAATATTTCAACAAAAACTCATTCATTACAAAACAAGTACAAGAGGAAAAACCACAAGATAATCCAACACCGTTGAGTACATAAAAGAGGGGATTCCCGACTGACAGCTGCTACCTTCGTCGGGCCTGTAAATTACATATACCCAACGAGCTATGCTGGCAGAAAGCTCGTTACCCCAAGTACCTATCATGCCAGAAGGGTCTGTTGAATAGTGGTCAGACAAAAAGCAATTATAGGTATGGTGTGAAGTTCTGAACTATGATGGGGGGTCTGAGGGCGAAGTCATACTGCTGGCTGGACGAGAGTGTGACAGCAGTAAGGTGTTTTCTTAGGATGAGCAGCAGTCACACTGATTCTGCCGTTCTTATGACAAAGGGGGTTGGAAAAAGTCGGCCTTAAAAACAGCGCACTGCCTTCTATCCCGTGGCATACCAGTGCCGGTGATACAGGTTCATAGTAGCAGTTAAAACTAACAAGTTTAAATCTCAAACTTCCAAAAAGGCTGTGTATGACTGGCCTCAAACATATGCCTTGTAGGGTCTTCAGTCACGCACTAACCCTGCTTTTCCAGGTACCTCGGGAAGGACCAACTTACCACGATGTGGGCAGTCGAGAAATGTCAACTACCTTCACAACTCTGTCAGCACTCCATTTCAATAGATCATTATCAACCTTCCACACCCTTAATTTCTAACCTTCCTTCAAGTCTCTCAACCAACATTTCTATATCATCTTCAGCTTTCTTCAGATGTTGATAATGATCTGAGTCCAAAGAACAGCAACACTGATCTCCTGAAACAATGCTCCTAACTACACATTGTAGCTCTAAACGTCCGCGCTTTCCAGTGAATCGGCCAACAAGTGTCGCTGGTCAAAACGCTGGCACCTCAGGGTCATGGATATGTTATTTGTTTGTGAGAGACGCATACAAGATCCAAATGCGGTTATTCACTTAATCTCACCCGGTTAATATCATAGACCACCGAAATTCTCCCTTGGAGTTTGTGGAGATTCCATGGATTCCAGCTGACAGTCCCCTATGGGCTGTTCGACTGAACGGCATAGTGAAAATGATGAAGAAAAGTGAAACTTTTTGTTGTCTCCTTGTAATCTCTGCTTACGCTCTGCACTTACTGATTGTAATTTGGATAAAGTGAAGGATGAGTTCCACCGAAAACATTCAGATATGGTTGCCGTAGCAGGTAATTTTAATGCACACGTGGGTAGGCTGTCAGGCAGGAAAGTAATTAGGTAGTGATTTTGGAATCCAAACCCGAAGAACAGATAACGGCGGTAGCCTGCTACATTGTGCTCGGACAATTATCTATTACCGGCCAGCACGAATTTCAGACATGATGAGAGATTATCCGATGTGGCTTCCACCAACCTCAACTCAGTGGAGGCTCGAGATCGTCACATCAGATATCGTTGGAGATGGTGGGTAGAAGACTGATTCTTCTTCTGGAGCATGTTTCGATAGTGGCCGCATGTGGTGTCTAAAGACACCAAACTGTGAAAATTTGTAAGTTATTTGTCCGAAGTAGGTTTTCTGCGGATAGATCTTTCGAGTGATCCCTCGTTTCATCTCCTTAGCTATACATCTAAAAAGGTTATCTTAGAATCAAGTTCCTTCTCTATTCTGAACTTGATTGAAGGGTGACAGTTGTTAATTTGACATAGGATATCTTCTAGATCATCTGAAATTGGTTGTTTATCCTGCTCAAATGTACATTTTCTAGCTACAAGTAAAGGGCACAATAGTGAACCCATAGCTATTTTATCTTTTTACCTGTATATTTTATTATTGAAAGAAAGTCGGACCTTCAAGAGGCACCTTAGTAACAGCTCCTTTATACAATGTATGGATATCCCAACATTTAAACCATTCGAATAAACATAGTCACAAATGTAACAAATTGTCTCATTTAATGGCACACTTGCAAACAATGAGACTGAATCTAAAGCAGTTAACACCATCAATAAAATTGACAAAATCAATGGGATCACGAAGTTTTTGAAGTGAGAATTACCTTCCTTTAGGGCTCCAAGATGTTAACCAATCTTTGGGCAGTACGATGATAAAGTGGTTCTGTCATACTGAGAATAGTGCGCAGAGGTGTGCCTTCTTTGTACACCTTTTACCTGAATGGTCTGAAGGATTCAAATAGTTCGGAATCTATGAAGGAATCGGTCATTATTTCCGGATAATATCGGTAAATTGCTTTCAAGTGTGCTCTGTCTTATTCTTGACATTGATGGCCTTGATAAATTTGGTCTCACCAGAAAGGACAGGTACCATTTTACTTAGGTATTCATGGTGGTTCATCAATACAACACCTTTTACCAGGATGTACCATTATAACCTCCTTGTTGTTTCTCAATTCTCTAATCGTTTTCCATTGTTTCTTAGTTGATATGGACTGACAGTTTGGCTTAGTGTAAATAAACTTGTGACAACTGTCAAGAACTGTTGACTCGAAATTTTCCAGTTGCTCTTTGAATGTATGTCTAAAGCCAAGATTTAGGAGGCCTTCAAATTGCACCTTAACATGAATTTTGCTGACACATGGGAACTTAGTAAAAAAAATTTGGGACCGAGCAACCTGGATAAATCTTTTGCCAATTTAAAAAATATTTAATTTTTGACACCTCAACTACACATATTTCTCTTCGATCTTAAATTTTGTACTAAGTTCCTATGCGTCAGCAAACTTCATACTCAAGTGTTACTAAGCTACGAGACCCGACTGCTGACCAGATTTTTATTTCACATGAACAAACAAAGGTTTTCCCCGACTAATATACGAGTTCATGACGCTTCGCTATTTTAATATTATTATTATTAGTCCCTTGGGTTTCTAATGGAATATAGGGCTTAAGTAGCATGTCTCCACTGCACTCTCTTCTCTGAAATCTTTTGAACCTGGCTCCATGAAAGCCCACAAGCTCTCATTTCCTCCTCGCACGATCTCTTACATGTCACCCTCAGCTGGGACGCCCAACTCGTCATTTCCCATTGGGGTTCTACTTGAGCAACTGGCCTGACGCATGATGTCCCCAGTAGGCCTTCTCAGTGTATGTCCAATCCATCTGCACTTCCTTCCAATGAATATTTGTTCAGCGATAGGTTCTTGGTTGGTTCGTTCCCAGCCAGAGTTCTTTGTTGTTCATTCTTTCTAGCCATCTGATCTTCAGTAGCGAGCGTTAGCAGTTGTTGATGAATGTCTGTAGTTTATTGGAAATCCCTTTTGTAACGCGCTAAGTCTCTGAACCATACAGAAGCAATGACTTGACTAGTATTGGTGTTCAAAATCCGGATCTTGTTCCACATGCTGAGAGCAGATCTTCACACTGGTTTCAGGCTAATGAACGCCTGTCTTGCCTTTCCGATTCTGACTTTGACATCCCCGTCTGTGCCGCCTGTAGTTGAAACAGTGCCTCCTAGATCGGTGAAGGAGGCTACTTCCTTTACGTTTCTCCCGTTGGTGGTGATTGGAGTTTGTTGTTGCTGTTGGTGTTGTTGATCGGGTATCTTCATCACCTCTGTCTTCTCTATATTCACTTGGAGTCCCGTCTTCGCTGACTCGCCTCTTCTGCAAGACTTGTTAGTTTTCGCCTGTAGATCTTCAAGTTTGTGTGACATCAGGCATAAGTCATCGGCGAAATCCAAATGTTTTAGGTTCTTTTCCGCAGTCCAGTGTATCCCCCTCTTCTCGCTCCCCACTGTTTGCTGCATGATCCAGTCCAGTTGACCACAATCAGGAATATCATAGGTGATAGTAGGTGGCAGCCTTGTCTTACTCCTGTCTTCACTTCAAAAGCATCACTGAGCTTCCCATTGTGAATTACTTGGCATGTGGCGTCTTCATATAGTTGTTGAATGAGGCTGATAAAGGTTTGCGGTATTGCGTAGTATTGAAGCAGTTTCCCAATTACCTCTCGGTCGACGCTGTCAAAGGCCTTCTCAAAGTCGATAAAGTTGAGGTAGAGAGTAGACTGCCATTCTATACTCTGTTCTATGATGATGCCTAGAGTGGCACTGCAATTTGGTCCACACATGATTTGTACTTCCTGAATCCAGCCTGCCTGTTCCGGTCGTAGTTTTGAATCTAGTGCATCCTTTAGCCTCTCCAGGATGATGCGACTTAAGATTTTGCTTGCTTTGGGTGGGTGGACAGGAGAGTGATTCCACGCCAGTTCTTGCAAACACTGAGGTCCCCCACCCATCTTCCGGAGTTCGACAAGGTAACCCTTCTTAAAATCACTAGCCAGATACCTTCTCTTCCTTCCACACCTTCTGCAATGATGGTGTGAGCATGTCCGCTGTTGTCTCTGCATCTGTTTACAGTGCTTCTGGTGGGATCCCATCTGGTCCTGCTGCTTTCCCACATTTCAGTAGCTTTATGGCGTTCAGGATTTCCATTTCTGCTGGAGGATTTATGTTCACTTGTAGTTCAGTGGCACGGCTGTAGGTGGTATTTCTTGACGACGTGTAGGTGGTGGTGGTGGTGGTGGTCGATTCAAGAGCTTCTTGAAGTGGTCAGCCCATCGTTTCCTTTGTTTCTCTTCTTTCGTAATTAAATTTCCTTCGTCTGCGTTGATCTCTTCCCTTTCAGATAGCAACCTGGTTATTTGATACAATGTTGTCAGGTCTCTCTGTCTCTCCTACCTACAGCCTATTCTGCTTCATTTGCCAATGTTTCGTAGAAGTGTCTTTTGTCTTTCCATGCACTCTTCTTCACTTCTTTGTCCAGTGTTTTATACATTGTACTCAGTTCCTCTTGTCGTTGAGCATCCTTGCACTGGTTTATCTTCTGCTTCACCATCTTCCTATCCTCTATCAGCTTCCATGTATCCAGTGAGATCCATTCCTTATCTTCATTCTTCTTCCTTCCTAATACGGTTGTGCAGGTTTCTTTCCACATCTCTTTCAAAGACTTCCAATGTTCTTCCACACAGGTTTCTTCAGGGATGTTCTTCGATATCTCCCATTTTGTCTTGACGGCTGCCTTGAAGATTTGTGGATATCCTTGTGCTTGAACACACTGCCTCACTCCAATCACCAAATCGTTGAATGCACAGAATTCTCCAACCAATTCTCCATTCTCGTTCATCACCTCACTGAGCGCTTCTCGACCCATGGTTAATTCTCTTCCTGTGTTGTCCGCTCCTCACAGTTTGACACTCATATCACCCCACCCATTAGAATTTTGATATCGCCAACTGCCGTGAGGTCTTGTTCAGTGTTGATTGCAGTTGTTTGTAGAGTTCCTCTTTCTTCCCTTGCTCTGCATTATTTGTAGGTGCGTAGCCTAGCATTCTTTGATTGTGACCTTCCTTCCTTTCGAGTTGAATCTTGTTGGTATGATCCTGATCCTGCATGAGGAGATTGGTTCCCACTGCATGACAGCCTTCGATGCTCTTTGGAGGGGACATCATGATAGCCACTCGAAAACTCAGTGTGCCGTGCTCGTGGTTGTCGTGTGGGTGACAATATTGGAGTAGATTATTAATTCTCCAGTTGACAGTTTGGAGAGTCCACCTCCATTCCATCTGCTTTTGCAAATTCCTAGCACTTCAATGTGATACCTTCTCATCTCGTTTGCAATCTGGGCTGCCTTGCAGGTTCAAACATGGTGCAGATATTCCATGTCCCCACGTTTACTTTCGCTTTCATCGGGAGAGGTGAAGACACATCGGCCAATTGGCTTCCCGAAGGCTTTCACTAACTGGCGTCATTTCGCCTCTTCGATTCCAGCGAGGAATAATTTTGTTATTATTTTTTATATTTCGTTTATGCTTTGAAGTTTCTTTAGCGGTTAGATTTGTTTTATGGGGTAGGGTTGCTAGCCCTATGCCCAACCTCCCTCTTTACCCGGGCTTAGGACCGGCTAGTAACTAGTGAACTAGTGTTATTCAGGCGAGGCGACGCTTCACTATTGCTTGATCATATTCACAGTGACTGCCAGTCAGGACTTCTCATCCCAAATTAAATCTACTTAAATTAGAGAAGGGGAGCATTATATTGATTATCAGTTTGACTATCTGAAATAGTGGTGGTTCGGCAGGTTTGTATTGATACTGGGTGACGATCGAAGGTGAAATGAATGCACGAATTCACACAGCAGTCAGGCAAAACCTTTTGCGATTGAAGTGAAATTAAAATCTGGTCAGCAGTCGGGTGTCGTAGCTCATTTGGTAAAGCACCGGGCAGGAAACCCGGTGGTTGCTAGTCCGAATCCTGCCACAGCCCAAGTTTTCGTCTCACTGTCAATAATTACCCACTACCCTAATTTTGTCAACAATTTTTTATCGAAATAAATAACAAGCTGACGTCAGACGAAGTCTTTTACGGAAACAGCGGTAAATCTATTTAGTAATCTACAGCTAAAGAGTGCTAAGATGTAGTGTAGGTTTTACAGTATATCAAAGCATGAGCATAGTCCAGGGTATTTTGATCTATTCCACTGAACAAGAAGGCAAGTCAGTTGAAGAGGTCGTAAACCTGTACTAAGTACAATAAGTGGTATGTGTGTTCCGCATGCCCAACTACCGTCTATCTCCACACAGGATATTGGTCACAGTAAGTTGGGTTCAGAGAAGGTGTAGATGTGGAACTAAACTATGAAGTCACTGACCGCTGGTTCGAACAATTAGAAAAATATCGACCACTCAGTTAAGACCACCAAAAAGTTAGGAATAAATGGCTTAAGATCGTGAATGATATGTTCGACAATCGATTACACTGACATAAATATGTTTACCCTTCGCCACCGAAATCCTGAACACACTTGCTGTAGAGTTTAGCAACTGGGGCAAATGAACTTTTATGCAAGTACCTACGTTAATCAGCTTGTCTGTCTTTAACTTTAATGCTCAGCAGGTGGCGGTTGGAAAATTTTTTTAAAAAAGCAAGATGAATGTATCATAAATAGTTTCTAGTGAGTTTTTCTTGAATATCTTTTCCTACAAATATGGCTATTGAACTGAGAATGTATGAATACAAGCACCAGACAATTTAACCACGTGACATTTTTATTTTTGTGTTGCTTATCGAAAAATTGTCGTCAAATTGTAGTAAAGGAAATATTTGTCTGATGGATTCAAATCTACAGATACAATGCTTGGAATTAACCGCCTACTCACAGTACAGTAAAAAATAAATAAAACAAGGAAACGAAATAGGAGCTAAAGCTGATGACTAATTATTTCCTGTTGCTCTCCTTATCATCTGATCCTTACTCTGATGCTGAATAGAATGGGTTAGTTTCTGTGACTTCATGGTTTACGTGATTTACAGATAGTCATACACGTATTTTTCTCTTATCAATCATTTTTATGTAGAACATAATTATTTGCCACCAACGTTTGAACACTAAAGTAATGAAGCTGTGATCTATTGATCTGGACACTCAGATCTCAAACACTGGATCATTTCGAACTCCGCCTCACCTACCAAGGTCGGACAGTCAGATAATATTATCAGCCCTCACATAATATATGGGGCTTATCACCCGTTGTTGTGTGGTATAATGGTGCCGAACCCAAATCAAGTAATTGCATTTTTCCTAAAATAACTTACGCTGTAGTTTTACTGAGAGAAACCAGATGAAAAAAAGACAAATTTTCTTACTTGACGAATCCGTTGTCTTGCTAACGCCTGTAGTTTTGGTGGTGGAGGTAGCTGATAAACAAGAAGTACATCAATTTGAACTGTTGGATTTGAAACTGAAGTACCAATGTTGACAACTCCACTACTACTAGTAGCACAAATGGGTACAACACCAAGATTTCCAGGTGAACTATACTGATTCCCACTTAGAGGGATTCAAAAGAAGTAGTCATGGGACGGTGTGAAGAGACACTGAATTCCGAACGTGAACAACCGGTGATTCGTCTGAAAGGTGAATGGCCCGAAGATAGGTGAACTTTCGATAGAGGAGATGGTAGGGAAGTGGAAAGATGATGGCTTAGATTTAAATTTCTTGGTTGATTGAACAAGTAGTGTTGTGAACTGAGCGCTTGTTGTTTCTTGAGTTCAACCTAAAACAATGAAGAATAGAACAAGAAGAAAAAATAACTGGGCGATTTTAAAACTATGTAAAACAGAGAAAATAGTAAAATTACATCCAGGAACTAGCGAGCAATATAACTTGGCATGACAAGTTTTCTTACTTACAGTTACACTGAAAATTTATGTAACCCATAAAGTAAAAAAATCCTTGGAATCGTACCTGTATATCCACTGATTCTCACAAATAAAATGTGATTACAATCCACAACCAGGTACTACGAAGTAAACAGTGGTAACAAGTAATTTCGTGATGCAAAGGCGAGAATCCTTTAGTTTTATCGAAACAACCTCAACAATTCCAGTAACGACAATCACTAAAAAGTTACACTCCTGTTTTAAGTTCTCAATGACATTAACATACCACTTTTAAATCAAAAAAATACGAACTCCCTAACATCGAAGAACATGAATCCAATCATAAAAATGTGAAAAGCCTAGAAATTAACTCCTACCTCAGTCTAATGGACAACAAAAATTGTCAAAGCTAGATGGTCAAGGATTAGACTACTTTCTAATCACCGTATTAGGAACCATACTTATTTTAGTGCTAAGAATAATGACTTTTGTACGATTTCTCTTCGGACAGCTAGTGTACAATGTCACGGAAAAAATTAATTCTGAGTCGAATCTATCATTCTAACTTAAACACGTGGTACAATTTTATTTAAACTGCGCTTTTCGGCGAGTCACGAAAAGCACTTCCAACAACCTACAGACATTCATCAACAACTGCCTACGCTGGCTCGTTACTGGAGTTCAGATGGCCAGAAAGAATAAGCAACAAGGAACTCTGGCTGGGAACGAACTAACTAAGAACCTATCACTGAACAAATAAGCAGAAGGAAGTGGAAATGGATTGGGCATACACTGAGAAGGCTTACTGGGGACATCATGCGTCAGGCCCTCGAGTGGAACCCAGGTGGGAAACGACGAGTTGGGCGTCCCAGCTCAGGGCGACAAGGAGGAGATCATGCGAGGAGGAAATGAGAGCTTGTGGGCTGTCGTGGACCCAGGTTTAAAAATTTTTAGAGAGGAGAGTGCAGTGGAGACATGCTACTGAAACCCTATATTGCATTAGGAACCCAAGGGACAAGTAATAATATTTTTATTTGGTGGAGAGTCATTCAATCCTGGTGACACACTCAACAAGTAGTTGGACTGTAATCGTATCGTTTCTGTTTACAGAAACCTGTTCAATATCTAGTTAAATCGTTGGCAACAGTTTAGGTATCGCAGAGAAGTCGACTTTTTAGATGATGAGGACGTGCTTAGAAGAAACTATTTTCCTCTTGGCGTAACGAATTGTACTATTTACGAAAATATGTATTGTTACTTGTTTATTAGTGCTGTCAAATTAGTAGAATGGTTGTGGTTATCGATGGCAATTGTTTATTAAAAATGAATTCTTAATATCTGACAGGCGACAGTTATTTCCAGGGGTCTTATCCCGAAAATAAAGAACAGCATCAAAATATAGTATAAACAGTAAATATTTGACCATCACACAAGGTATGAAACAAATCAATAACTACCTGAAAATAAAAACAACCAAGTAAGACAATGACTTGTACATATATATATATATATATATATATATATATATATATATATATATATATATATATATATATATATATATATATATATAACCGCGTTCCGCATATAGGTGTAAGTTAGTGAAGGAGATACTTCAATGCTAACATCATGACAAAGTCCAAGTTAAGAATAAAATTAAACCAAAATATATGGGTTAATGTAGAAATCGTCATCAAAGATTCATTACAAGCACAGGATTTAAACTTCACAAACAGTGATAGGAATTTCTGAAGATTAATAATTTATGGAGAGCTCACCTATTTATCAATGAAAAAGAAACATGAGAACGTCATGACAATAGTGAAAAGTAACTGAAAATGACTTACACGTTTCCCAGAATTTTCTTTGCCTGTTTCTGGACCACTATTTTTAGAATTAACCAAATGTGAATCATAACAGGCCTCGATACTTATAGATGGAACAGAATGTCTTAAAGAAGCCGGAATTGTTTTACAGCTGGCAAGCAAACATTCACGTGAATTGACATTGGTATTTTGATTAATACCACTGCTATACATCCCGACAGCTTGTCGTGTAATCAAAGCTATTCTTGATCCACAGCGACTCATTACTGGTAAGTAATTGGTAGGACATGTATGAATAGGACATACTGCTCGGTCAAATCTCAAAATTCTTAATCTTTCTAAAGTGTCGGAATTAAATATGGTGAGCCATAATGTAGTACAACCAGGAAGTGTGGGAGCTAACATTGGCGAAGTAGAGCTCGCCTTAGAGCTGTAACGTGAACTTGATTCAACGTACTGAGTTGAACTTAACACCCGTTGCTGATTTCGCCCGCTTTCAGTGTTACTATTCGGTGATGATCGACAAGAACTAAGGGGATTGGAAATATCATCGATGTAACTAGGTGTTTCGGATGGTGTCGAACTAGTAGAATAGTTGTGGTTATCGATGACAGAACATCGGCAATTACGGGATTCTGTAGTGATCGTGAATAAAAAATAACCATCTCTAGAATAAAATACGCTCATAATGTGTGGGAAGGCATAACTGAAAGCGTTAGAATTCGGCAGAACGCTAATATGATTAGCATCCGATGATCGTCTTCGTCTTGTTGTTTCTCTAGACGTAGAACTACTGTTTACGTAGGGAGATCCAGGACGATTTGATGGCAACCACGAGCAAAGTTTGTTGGTTGAAGCCAAGCATTCCCATGTTGGAAGTTTCACTAAACTTAAAGTGGCCTGTATTCCTGGGACCCAGTTAGAAGATGACTTGTGAGAGTTGAGGCCGTGTGGAAAGTCTACGTTAGTGATTGCTATGCGTGAATTCACAAATCTTGGGTCGAAGGCGAATAGCACCTGAGAGGAACGGGCTGGACCTAGTTGCAGTTGATTCTCGTTCTGAATATTTCCTCTGAAGTTTGCATTTACTGAACCAGTTGTTGAGAATGTATTATCAAATGGAGTTCGAGTATTAGATTGCCTATTATGCTCTTGATAAGGAGCTAAAGGCAAACGGGAGCCATTTGATGCTGAATCATCACAATTGGACGAGTTAGATAACGGAAGTTCAGAAACCAGTTCACTATTCCGTAAGTTGTACAGCTGAAATGATAATTACAAAATAAATTTGGAATGGAACAAATCAAATCTGATAACATCTTTGCAACATAAACATCACAAGTTAAGTGACGATGGGATTGTCCTCAGTTAAAGAATACTTAAAAAATATAAACAACTTCAAACCTGAAAAATGACGACTCTGTTTACGTTGTTTTACTCAAAAAATAATAAAGATCTATCAACAGAACGAAACACTAAGGTGTAGAAGACATTAAGAAGGTACGGGATGAACAAGCTCAGAATACTCTTAAATGAATGGTGGCCGAATCAGATCAACTACAATCAATACTCAGCACATCACAAACCCCAGCCACCATTTTTAAAGTTCCTAATGCGACTTAAACCACCAGTAATTCAAATTCATGGGCTGGTATTGCGTTTCGGTATGGTCTTACCCCTAATTCAGTATTTCACATCAAGATAATCAGGGGCTGGAGGAGTAACGTTAACCACAATCATTTTAGTTAATGTAGACATATCTCGACCGATTTACCTTTAACTTCACGCCCACGCCAAGTTCTTGAAGACTATGATAGTCAAATAGTTGTAATCCTTTAGTATTGTTTACCTTCAGTGGTTGCTTTTGTCAGATAAACTGCACTCGGTTTTCGATATAGGTATTCGGATACGGAGTTGAATGACGAACGCTCTCATCGACTTTCTAGGAATAAATTGTTAGAAACCTTGGGTGACATGGCTTGAAAGACATTATAAGGAAACATGCGTTTACATTATTTACCTTTCTTGAAATCTTGAACGTCTATAAGCTTACTTACTCCCCTTTGCTTGTGTTTTTTTTCTCGGTTATTTTAAAATATACTCAACTCTTTTGGCTTTTCGTATTGTTAACGGTGTAATAATTTGAAACAACACGCTTTTGTGCAAAACTTTGCTCCATCGTCTACCGAACACTCAATTTAAATGTATAAACTGTAAAAAATATTTTCATAGACAAAGTTGAATGGATTTCCCAGTCATGAAATAAATTCAGTACAAGATGCTGATTTTCGAAGGTGACAAATGATTAAGACCTCATTACCAGATTCAATACACCTTAAATCTGCTTTATTGTGTCGGTTTCGCCTTGTAATAAAACAAATAAAATAACTAAACATATTGCGACTTGAAAGAGCATTACCCATACACTGATTTCTCTTGCGTTATCACGGGCAAGATACCTGTCTTTCCTGACAGAACGCAAGTAATGCAAGGGATTGATCCAAAGAGTTTACTCTTAGAAATATATATTTGAAAACAGTCACACAACTGCCTAAGGTATGTTGCTTGGTAGGGGCATTTTATTCGGTTCTTGAAGAATTTTACTGCTGAGAACTAATCATTAACAGTTAGAAACATTCCTTTTTGGAAACCAGAAGCCAGTACTATTGGATTTTCAAGATTTAAAAACTATTTCCGATGAGACGTAGTGAATAGAGAAAATATACGACCAGATATGCATAAACATTTCAAGGTCCTTGTCATATATATATATATATATATATATATATATATATATATATGCACCTCAAAACTTAAGTAGTTAGGTGAAGGGGGAGGTTGGTCACTGAATGTCATTGAATAAACACCTAACGAGTGAAACAGGAGTGATACAATAGTAATCTCAGAGATATACGGAGTTTTAACGCCTGTAAAATAAAAGAACGGAAAAGCAGTAGAAGTATGTAAAGTAAACCATAAAACTATGTGTTAACGTAGGTGTAATTATCAGTAATAAACTCTTCGGAAAGCCGCCCAGTATATAATACTGTATTAAGGTTCGCCACATCTAATAAAATAATTAACTCTAGAAGTTTATTCCACCACAGTACCAATATTTTCATAGTTAACCTTAGATACATTTTAGGTCAAAATAAGATACTAGATAAGTTGATAAGAGACTTAGCAAGACAGGTAAAATAAGCAAGTCCAGTAACTAATCTTGCTGAAAATTCTGGGGAAAAAGAATTGAACCGGTTTTCATGCCACACTGCAAACTACAGGGGCATATTCTACTAATGGCAAGTGGATCGTTAGCTATGCCTGCATTTTACGATATCCAACGGTTATGGAGCCCGAAACATTTACGAAGTGTAAATAACGCGTATATTTGCACATTACTAGACGTCAGCTTAAAGTGACGTCGTAGCAAGTAAAAAACTACATATAGATAGGAATTATCTCAGAATTTCGGCTGACAACTCTTCAGCGTGGCTACTGGTTTGTAACTATCTCAACTTTACAGATGCATCTGGGTATCAACCCATGCAACGTAACTCAGACAGTCACGTTAAAGTATGCCAAGAGATAACGATTGTTGCATCTGATTATTCACCCTAAAAGATTGAAATCAAGCAGATAAATGTATATGAAAGATATAATTTGAAGATAAGGGCTCATGAAAATATTCAAGCATTGGAAGACGTCAAAGAGTGTATAAATCTGCCCCGTTGTGACCGATTTACACCCGTTTTATCAAGAGTCTGCAACCATTGATTCCAACGGTCTCAAGGACCCCAGCCAGGTAGTTTAAACCACTACGCACAGCTGAGACCAACAGAAACTGTGTGCACGCTGCCAAGTTTTGGTCTGACCATCCTGACCCCTCTTCCAACCAGATCCAATTTCTCCTAGCATTGCTAGTTGGGGTAGGTAGTGGCTCAGCATGTGTAACATATATCCAAGCCATCTCAGTCACTGAAGGTTTACAAATTCATCGATTAACTTTTCTCATCTGTCTATTACCTTTCGCCTAACCCCTACATCGCTCATATGATGAGTCCACTATAAGTGAACAATGTTATGAATACACTTACGGTCAAAATCTAGTCTTCACATATACTTTTAATGGTCACGTCTCATAGCCGTATAACAGAACAGAATACCAGTCTCAACAGATATGCTATCCATTTTTGGTCACAACAGTACCTTTACTAATGATTGGGATTGAGATACTGCTAATGAGGACAAATTATTTATTTGCCTATGGATGGTAGGAATAAATAACAGATGCCTACCTACAACAGCTTTCAAACATGAATGGAAATGATAATAATAGCTAGTTCATGTTGAAAAAGTCTATGTGATAAGTAACGGCTCAGAATGATGTGTTCAAAAAAATCACACCAGTTTATAGAATTATGGTGTGATTTTATGACAATCTATAAACAGCATGAACACGATAATCACAAGTTGGCACTTAGATGCTACCTGAGCTACTGCTTTATTCATATAAACTTCATTTGTTCTTCACTAGCATGAACCAATGGAAAACACAGACCCGATTATTTCCCAATCGGTTATATTACTTCACCTAATATAGTTATTAGGTCATTTTGAGAGGATAATATTACTGAGAACCAAAACAAGTGATTGCCTAGCCGACCTTAAGAAGTTCTTTATTGCGTGTCTAAATTGTTTGGGTGGATAAGAATTGCTTCTCAAGATTAGAAAAACCGAGTTTTAAAGTTAACTACTTTATACTTTCGTCATATACTGTGTTGGTTACTCTATAAATCATCATCTATAACTACAATAGCATACTTTTCCTACGTCTGGCTGTTCCAAGCTACCGATAACCTTTCCCTCCAACCCCAATACCGTTTGTTGATATCCCTTGGGTGTGATAATGAAGAGTCTAACAGCACAGACCACCGTCAAAATGTGACAACTTTTCACGAACAAGTGATTATTCAACATTGTTTTGAAAACTTTTAGAAAGCCTCATTACGCGGTGCTTTTATGCCGTCGTATCTATGAATTCTCCCAGCTTGGCTTTCGACTGAAAATGTCACAAATACATATGACTGATAGTTTTAAAGTAATACATGTCACTTAAGTAAAAAAAAACCTGAAAAGTACACACAAACTTCGAAAGGAATCAACTTACTAAAGAGTCGAAAACAAATAGTAGTCAAAAGTTTACGAAGCATATAAAATGGATCATTTAACCCAAAAATAGCAAAAAAAGTATGTATGGAACATAAAATCCCTAAAATTCTAACCACTCACATACCTTCAGAATATATATTCTTCGATTTCTTGACCACGGTAGTCTGACAAGGCAGTAAGTTCCGTCAGGTGATATTTTACCTATAGTGGATTCAGGACTAAAGATAACTGTCTGTCGACCGAACGAGCCAAGAAACTTATTAATCCGCAAGTCTACCAAGGCGAATTGGGTTATCATATCTCTTGCCAAATGAACAACTGCTAAGCCACTGTGATATCTAGTACGGATTTAAAATGTAAGTTCTTGACGCAATCAGATTAAAGCATTAGGTTACCTGTATAGAAGATAAATGAGCAGGTATGTGGTTGTATTCGAAATGTTCTGCCATTTTTGTGTATTCTCTGCGTTTCCTTAGTGAAAATACAGAACACGATCTTCGGAAGTTTACTATGTTCTGTCTGGTAAGACAAAATGCTGACGTGCAGTCATGTGGCACCTGATACGTGCACACCATTATCTTATCAGAAAAATTGAAAAGCTCTGAATGCCTTGATTAGTATAAGAAGTTTTGATTACCTCGATGCGATTTTCGCCATAATTCCAATGTGCACTGGTGAACTATTCTTCCAGGTAACACAGGTACAAAGAAACACAAATTAGGTGTATTACAAGCAACTCTGTTTGCTTGGCCAATCTTACTCTCCTCGAGTCCCATTACAAGTGATAGCTCATGTTTGCTGTGAAAAGTAGCGCGGCCAACTAAGTCGAGTAAAGCTAATTCAATGAGCAATATCCAATATCTTTCTAACTAGCTTGTGTAAACCAGTTGATTTCTTCTTGCTCGCCTCTTGATCTTGCATTCAACAACAATGTTGTAAGTATGAAAAACTGATACAAACTCCAAACTTCATGTTACGGAATTAGTAAACGATGGTCCCTTCAGTTCTACGTCTGTTTTATTGGACTATCTTCTCGGTCTAGAATGGTCACAGTTGTTGTCTCGGTTCCAAGAAACCTAAGAGGAGACAGATGGTCGATTATTAATTAATCTGCGGTCTATAGGTAGTGTTACTCCTTTCCTCATCTGCAGATGATAGAAACCTTTCCGAGTACATCCTATATGTGCCACAAGACTAGATTTACACCCAACCTTTTAAAACTATCGGGAGAAAGGACTGTAACAACTTCCGAAAGAGGAGACTTACACAGTTTACAAACTCTAATTACAAATGAATGTGCACGGACGTTTGTACGTAGTCTCAAATGCTCTACTGTCGGTGGGGGACCCCTATGGTGGCGTCTCGGATTAAAGCTCAGAAGGAACCTGTTAAGATGAAGGAGATTACGGCCAGTGTAATGCATCGTGATCAAATCCCCTTTGATTCTCTGGCACAGTGCTGGATGACGCTTGGGAGAGACTAAGCGATCTAGATAAGGTTGGTACGGTAACCTAGTCACTCTCTTCGTAGTCCCTCTCTTAACGCCTTCCAGGATGACCATGTCGTTCTTCAAGTGTAGAGACATACAAAACAGATATTTTTTCAAGATGAGGATGGGTATAAACCCCATGCATTTTGGTGAAAAGGGCTGGATTTAGGCCCCCGGAAGTTCACGAAAGTGGCTGCAGAACTCCAAAGGCCTTGTTATCGCCAAGACAACAACGTAGCGGGGCTTCAAGCGTGTCACTTAAAGTAACTGCCAGATTTTCTCACTGTTAGAGTGGGAAGTATTTACTTCACGCAGCATGTAAGAACTGAATATCTCTATAATTGTCAGCAGTCATTATTTTATAAGTCTCCGCGTCGAGAGGGAGCAGGTTCAGCTTGGGATTTCGGAAACGCCTATCCTGTGGATTGAAATATCTGCTAGCTCTTGTATTTTCCCCGAATCTTCAAATCATTGACATTATAAGTGAAAACTGGGGGATATCGGTAGATCATGGACAAAAGCAGTAGATGGTAGTGGATCGGGGACGAAACTTTGGGTCGCGCCACTCATTACCAATTCGGTAAATGGGAGCCAACTCTAACCGATTTCAATTCAGTGTAAAAATAATCTCTTAGCCAGTGTGGCACTTTTCCCCAACTTCCATACGTAAGATGTTATGATTCACTGCGGAAAATCCCTTAGACGAGTCAAGCTAACCGATGACAATGGTCTTTTTCTGCTCAACAGAGAGAGTCCAGCTACTCCAAGCTATCAACACGTGGGTGTTACCTGGCCTTCTGGATGAAATCCCGTGTTGAGAGTCACTTAAGACTGAGGGCTTAAGTGCTCATGAAGTGAGTCATTTATTACTTTTCTCACGATCTACACGCCTGAAGAGATGAGGGAGACCGGTTCACAGTCAGAGGCAATTAGTTTATCCCCACCTTTATATGCTGGAACGGAAGCCACCCATTTCCCATCCGCGGGCAACCCGCCTTCCAGAAACCAGCATCTGGAGAGGTGTGTTAATGGAGCGCTCAGAGCATCGGCACACTCTTTGGGGATCATCGGTGGCTGCCATCAATTTCCGAAGACTTGTTCGAATTCAAGTTCCTTAAGATTCCTTATTTACGGGAGGTTCAAACTCTGCATAACTTAACTCCATGAGATATGAGTATCTGATTGATATGCGGTTGCCCCTTTTAGTTGATAGGAGCTGTTTTGACATTCCTAATCTGGCAAGCTTGCCACCCCATAGTAAGTGCGGAGAATCTCTTTACTTCTGGGGGCCTCTGTAACGAGCGAAGCGTTGCTCTTGCATTCCATCGGTAGGTACAATGCTCCGTAAATCTCCTTCAGAATTACACGCAGATCTGCCTGGTAGTTTACCCAGTCACTTCTGATTTCTGCTGTATATCTGTTACAGATGTCCTTGCAATTTCGCTAACCAATAGAGCTATTAGTAAGCCCTCCCTATTGCTTCCAGGATGACCATTTGGGCCGTGATTGATTAGACCAGCTTGACTTGAGACAGAAAGAGTAAAACCTGTTAGTTCTTCATGGGTGGACGTTATCATTAACCGTTTCAAGAGTTTTGCCCTTTAACAATTCCCATCTGGAGTCCAGGTCCAGCAGGTCACCGCAAGTTGAACAGCCACGACCTTCTAGACCTTGTGGGGCCTCCCAAAGTCAGACCCCGTGTAGCTCCCGACCAATATCCGATCAGCGATAGGTGACCCAGACAAAACAATGCTGAAGGAAACAGGCGCATAGTCATTCGGTCCAGGAGATAGTTCAAAAAACTTAAGGTTGATTACCGTAATAAACCGTTCGGTAAAGGTACAATCACAACGGGAAAACTTGCCACCAAGCAGACAGAGAATGCACTGAAAGCGTGTTCAATCAAGGTGTCCTCCAGTAAGAATCGTCTAAGTTCCCTAGAAGCGGCAGACTGGCTTTTAGTGGTGAAGAGCAAAGCGAAGCTAAAATCCGCCACAAAAAGGATTTGAGAGAGTTCAGTTCCAGGGCTCCTCTAATGGACTGGATCATCACCTCATTTGGCTTGGCAGAGGCTCCAGGAAAGGGTATAGAATCCCAAATGAACAGAGACCATAGAACCATATAACGGCCTTAGCGCTAATGCTGACGGAGGCAATCTCACGAGCTTTCAAGAAGGAACGGGTGTAATGGGCCTCGCCGCTTCCTGATCCCCCTACCCAATTATTCAGGATTAAGCTGGGCTCTCCTTGATAAATTTCCCTCATACTTTATGTCCTCTGTAGGCCAATTTTCACAGAAGGCTAACACACTAGGACTAACCTCTTCAATCAATAATAATAACTATTTTGAGGCACAAGCCGCAAGCATTGTCATACATTATCACTATTATTTGTCCTCCGGGTTCCGAGCGGAACATAGGGATTCAGTAGAACGTCTCCTTTGCGACCCGCTCTCTCCAGTCTTTCCAGCCTGGCTCTACAACTGCCCAAAAACTTTCATTACTTCCTCACATTATCTCCATATCACCCTCGAATGCTCAGCTCATCATCTCAGTGTATTCTCGACCAACCCCCACTTTTTTCTGCATATTTGTTGGGTGATAGCTTCTTGGTTGGTTCGTTGCCAGCCAGAATGAGTTCCCTGTTGCTTATTCTCATTATTCCGGCCATCTGGTCTTCAGTTCCAGTATAGAGTTAGGGTAAGCAGCAGCTGTTGATGAATGTCTGTAGTTTGTTGGAAATGCTTTCCGTAACGCACCAAGTCTCTCAACCACCACATCGAATCACTGACTTGACTGACATTAGTGCTGAAAATTCTCATCTTGTTAACGCCTTATGCTGAGCGGAGTGTAGTGCAGTAGATCTCCACACTGATTTCAGGTTAATAAAGGCCTGTCTTGCTTTGCCGTTCTCATATGTGCGGCGGCCGCCTGCAGCTGAAACGACACTGCCTAGGTAGGCGAAACAGACTACTTATTTTAGGTTTCTCCCATTGGTGGTGATTGGAGCTTGTTATTGTTGGTTGGGTATCTTCATCATCTCTGTCTAATCCACGTTCACCTGAAAGAAGTCCCGTCTTACTTCGTTGCCCTACCTCTTCTGTCAACTTGTTGGTTTTTGCCTGTAAATCCTCAAGTTTGTGTGACATTAGACATAAATCATCCGCGAAATCCAAATCTTCTTCTGGAGGTCTTTTCATCGGTCCAGACAGCCAGCGTATGCCCCTCTTCTCACTCCTCACAGTTGTCTGTTGCATGATCCAGTCAAGTTCAGTCGACCACAATCAGGAGGATCATTGGTGATAGTAGGCGGCAATCTTATCTTAACCTACTCCTGTCCCTCGTCTTCACTTCAAAGGCACTACTGAGCTTTCCATTGTGAGTCGTTTGGCACGTAGCGTCGTCATATAGCTGGCTGTTGAATGAGGTTGATAAAGGTTTGTTGCACTAAAACCGTAGTAATGAAGCAGATGTCAACTTATTTCTCGGTCGACGCCTCGATCGAAGGCCTTTCCAGAGTCGATGAAGTTGAGGTAGAGTTGAGTTGACTGCCATTCTATGCTCTGTTTTATGATGATGCGTAAAGTAACGTTGCCGTATGTTCCGCACATGATTTATTCTTTCTGAAGCCAGTCGACTGATGTTATTTTAAGGAATGATGACCTTTCAAAAGAGTGTGTTCCGAATGACGAGTGCTATCAAGCGAGCCTCACGGAGGTCCAGAGGAGCTCTTGTTAGCAAACTTGCTACTGTCCAGGAGTTGTAGAGATGGACCGAAGGGTGAGGCTCCAAAACATTTACAAGCAATCCTTCACTTGCCAAGGTCATACTTTTCACTGTCAGCCAATAAGGAAGAGTCACTTTCCCTAATGTTAAGGGGTGTAAGCAATCTAAGATTTTGGGATGTAGGCCTCCATTTGTGTGCAGACCGAAATTTCTGTATAGCCTTCCGGGACTGATTTTATTATTTACTCCTGAACATAGACGCACATACCATTTTCGCATGTGTGAATTGATTTGTGTGTGTATTGCAGGTTTCTTTAGGGCAAGTAATTTTAATTGCTGGGACGTTTGTTTGCATGCCAGTAAAATATAGAATGTCAACGGAATAAGTGTACTCAAACTGGCACTACTGATAGTTGAAAGTACTGTCTTTGCATTGACGAAAAGCCTAGGTTTACATTTAAGTATTACAGGGATCGCCTGAAGAGAAAGATGGAACCTGAAGCTAATATGTCCACTGTTGTGTCCATCATTATTCTGCTGCTTATTAGCGATGAGAAGCTTGT